TTGTACCCCAATTACTGAGGACCCCAAAGGGTTCTTGTTCATGGGAGCTCATTATTCACCATGTCAGCAATACCGAGACATTTTCAAACAAGAACACACAGTCCAACATGCCATTGATGATGGTGTCATCACATCGAACATCTCCTGGAAAACTATATTCTTAGGAGCAAACAAAGGCGTCAAAGTCAAATACCATCTTAGTGTTATTAGAAAAACAGTTTTGTTCTCTTGGACCCCCTGGAAGGATCTCGAGGATCCCATGTGAGGACCGCGGCCCTGCTCGCCGGTGCCTCTGTGGGTCATACCCCGTCTGTAGTGCCTGGTAGGTATAAACCTGGTGCCCAGACTGGTACCCTGTGCTGTGAACTGTCCCTGGGCTGTTTTCAGGAGCTGGGGCAAGGCCTTCACTTTTCAACTGCGGGAACTTGGGCGAAGCTCTTTGCTGGGCCTCAGTGTCCTCGTTTGTAAACCTGTGGGCCATACCCCGTCTGTAGTGACTGGTGGGTATAAACTTGGTGCCCAGACTGGTACCCTGTGCTGTGAACTGTCCCTGGGCTGTTTTCAGGAGCTGGGGAAGGCCTTCACTTTTCAACTGCGGGAACTTGGGCAAAGCTCTTTGCTGGGCCTCAGTGTCCTCGTTTGTAAAATGAGAGGTTTGGACCATTTTCAAATCGTTCCTCTAAGCCCGAGAGTTCTGGGAGAATCCTGTTACCGGCTCCCAAGGAAGGTACACTTTGGACAGCGTGGCTTTCTGTTTACTAGGGTTATGTACCTACCCCTTCAGCAGCTGGTCTTCCCTGAGCATAGAACCAGGCACGAGGGAGGCGGTCGGGGGCAAAAGAGACAAAGGTCCCTGTGAAATGGGGTCCAGAGCCTGGGAGCACGCCCCTCCGTCTCTCCTTGAATTCTCAGCTGGGCTGTGCTTTGAAGCAGTTACCTGGTGATGGAGAATGGGGTAGGGGAGCATTGTAGGCTGCCTAAACTGTGTGTGCAAAGGCCCTGAGGCAGGAGCTCAGGGCAGAGCTCAGGAGGCCCCGGGCGGCAGCACAGCGTTGGGGAGAATGTGGTGCCACAGGCTGGTGAGGATCCCAGCCCTTCTGACGCTTTGCTTTATCTGAAAGGAAGGCCTAGCCGTCCAGTGCTCAGGTGGGCGGTGACGTGCTCAGGCATCTGAGTTCCAGCGCACAGCACTGTAGCTGACGGAGGCCTCCTGGTTACCTCAGGGCGTCGGCATGGGAGGGTTTTCCCTCTGAGTGGGGAGACCTGTCTTGTCGACTCCTCCCTCCCAGGAGGAACTCACTCAGGGATGAGCTGGGAGACCTGGGCGGCCTCTTGTCACCTACCAGCGGTTTGGGCTAAGAAAATACTCTCCCCCTCCCCCGCCTCCCTCAGGAAAATGAGTAAAACCACATGAAGGAAAATGCTGGAAATAGAAAAAAGAAAAGAGCAGCTTTAAAAAATCTGACTAACCTAAAATCTGACTAATAGCATTTGAAGGTACTTTCCCCCACTACTCCCCTATGCAAATTGTTTGTTGGTTCGTATATTCACTCATTCCATAAGTATGACTTGAGTGCGTACTATTGCCAGCATCTGCATATGGGATGCTGAACAAGATATACAGACGAGCCCCTAGGAAGCTTATATTCCTAGGGGGGAAGCTGGTCAAGTATCTTGTCTGTACAATTTCTCATCGTATTTTCACTTGTCTGTCTGTCTCATGAGCACTTCCCTTGTCATTGTGTCATGTCTGTACCCACTATTCTGATGCCTGTTTACCTTTCCCATTGAATAGATCAGAGTTTATTTAACTACTTCACCACTGTCAGGCATGAAGTCTCTTTTCTGTTTTTCACAGTTTTACATAACGCTGTGATAAATATATTTGTGCGGGCAGGTTTTAAAAATCCTCACCTGAGGATATGATTTTTATTGATTTTAGAGAGGAAGGGGGAGAGAAAAAGAAATATCAATGATGATAGAGAATCAGTGATCGGCTGCCTCCTGCATGTTCCCTACTGGGGATGAAACTCGCAACCCGGGCATGTGCCCTGACCGGGAACTGAACTGTGACCTCCTGGTTCATAGGTCAACGTTCTGGCAGTGTTATTATTAACTCCACTTACCAGATGAAAAATCGAGCATAGTCAGTCAGTAATGTTACCAGTTAATGTGCAGAAAAGGGAAGAAAATCACGAGGCCTAAGGGTGAGACAGGTGTCAGTGAAGTTGAGAAACAGTCATTTCTGTCTCAGGCCCAGGCCCTACCTTGTCAGCAGGTGTCAGAGGGGGTGTCTGGGCACCAAAGGGGAGTCAAAGGGGCAGAGCCCTTGAGAGGGGCTTCTGGTGCCAGAGCCGATGGCCGAGCAGGGCCAGGCCCTCCCCTCTTCCACGTGGCCCATCAAGCCCCCTGACTGTGGCCTGACTGTCTTCCCCTCTGCCCTTTCCTTTGTAGAGGAAATCGTCGCCCACGCCAGCAATGTGTCCTCACTGGTGCTGGGCAAAGGCTCCGGGCGGCTGCTGGCGACAGGAGGGGACGACTGCCGTGTCAACCTGTGGTCCATCAACAAGCCCAACTGCATCATGGTGAGCCTCGCCGGCCAGGGGGGCAGGGACAAGGGGCGGGAGGGGACTGTGGGCAGGATGGGGTAGTGGTGGGTGAGGCACCCTGTCCTCTGGGTGCCCATCCCGAGGGTAGGGGACACAGCACAACATCCATGCCTCCCCCAGCTGTCGGCTCAGGAAGGCCCAGGGCAACCCCAGATGGCAGCAACAGTGGCCCGTCCTCGGGAATGGGGTGTCACCTGTCTGTGGACAGCACGCCAGGGAGCCTGCCTGAGAGGCTAGATGAGTGGAGCCTGCCCCGCCCTGCCCAGGGCCCGTCCACCCACCCGGCAGCTGTGTGCGGGGTGACTGATATATTCCCACCTCGTTCCACTGAAGGATTTCAGGCGCCTGCCTGGAGTGGGCAGAGAGCTGGTTCTTTATCAGACTTCCCCTGGCTGCACAGCTACATTCAGTGCTGAAAACTGTTCCAAAACAGGAAACCACGAAGAAGGAAAAATACGAAAATGAAAGATACATAGTCCCGTTATCCAAGACCACTGCAGTTGGCTTTTGGTCTGTGTCCTTGTAGGTGCTGATACCCACAGACATGCACATGCACACATGTGCAGACTTGAGCATTTATGTCACATACACATGCCAACACACACGTGCACACACAGAAATAAATAGCAATATATTTCCAGAACGCGTTCTCACTGTCCTGTGGCCTGGTTTTTAAAAAATACAATATGTAAGCATTTTCCTGTGTCAGAAAATCTCCTTTAATGACATGATTTGTAATGGCTTTGTGGTGTGCCATGGAGTGAGCTGGCATTGGCTTGGCCCCGCCCCGTTCCCAGCATGGAGGTCACTTGCAGCCTTTTGGCTCTGCTCAGCCACGTGGTAAACATCCCCATCTGCTAACTGTGAGCAGATCTGTGATGGTTGCATTAAGTCCGAGGGTGTGCACTTTTCACAAAGCTTTCAAGACCTGTCGTCAAATTGCCCTCCAGAAATCCATTTACATTCCCACCAGGAGCACGGGCCTCGCTCTCTCCCCACACAGCCCCACAGCACGGGGTGGTATCGCACTCTTGACTCTTGGCCAAGTCAGGATAAAGAATAAATAGGACGGGAGGTGGTATTTATTAGTAGAAACTTAATCAGCTCATTGACTTTGAGATTCATCAGAGAACCGAGATCTGACCCAGACCACAGCCAGGGGTCCAGACGATGGCAATTGAGTTCAGAACAGAATTGAAATCGTTTGTTTCCCTTTGTTTTTAAAGTTTAAATGTGCCCTGCCCCTGAATGACAAAGTAACGTACACAATTTGAGAAAACTCAGCAAAGACTGCCCAAAAATGGACATGAAGTGAGCCCAGGCGCTCGTCCTCAGAGAAGCACAGGGGACAGTTTGGGGTCTAGACTTACCTTCTCACACCTGGTGCAGCCACAGGCCCCCATGGGCCTCAGCCGAGCTCCCCCCACTCCCCCCAGACTCCCCACAGACCAGGCCTTGCAGGGCCTCAAATTTGCCAAGTTCTTTCTCATCTCAGGTCTGTGCTCTTGCGGCTCCCTCTGCGGCAGTTCACTGTGATCTATTTCTGTGCATTTTGGAGTGTGTGACCTCATGTCGTTCAACATCCAGATGATACTCGGTCAACAGTGAAACATCTTCCTTCCCCTACCCCACCTCCCTCCCTGGAGACAGCCTCACTCCGGTTCCTGTGTGTGTCCTTCCATCCTTCCAGAATGACTTCCTACATTCAGGAGCGGATGTTCATGTCTGCTTCCCTCCCCCCTTTATACCAGTGGCTTCACACTGTACACACTGTCTCCATCTCTTTCCACCTGTGCATGTCATGGATGTTAGTCTGGACCGTTGGCTGCGGTTGCCCTGTTCATTTTCATGCTGAATGAATAGCATCCATTGCATGGGTGACCATGATGACAGTGTCCTGTGACGGGTATTTGTGTTGTTTCCGGTCTGTGGTCCAAGAGATTCGCTGCAGTGAGTGACCGTGGGTGCGTGTGCGGGAATGGGCGTTTCTCAGTGTGGGTGGGTGTGCCCAGTGCCCTCCGTGGAGTGCGTACCCAGGGATACTCTGCCGGTGACATTTGGGAGTCGGACCAGCTGCTTGTCACTGTCTGGCCGTGGGGAGGTTCCACTGAGGAGCAGTTTTCCCTGTCCCCAACCCCCAGGGGGAAGGGTCTCAGCAAACACTGACGGTGTCACTATGATGCCTTGGGGGGCCAGTGCTGGGTGGGAGTGACAGGCACCATGGGTTCCAGATCCGGCCTCTCCAGAAAGCTGGAAGCGCCGGCACTTTCCTCCTCTCCCTCCTGGGCTCAGCCTGGCCCAGCTCCCCAGCTCTGAGTTGGGGGAGACTCTGTGTCAGCAAAGTCACCCCCAAGCTGCGGGTTCTCAGAGCCCCCTCCTGGGAGCGTGGCTGGGTCCTCCAGCGGGGACAGCGCTCAGGGACCCAGGCATTTTGGAGGGGAGAGAGGGGTGCCGCTGAGAGCCCGCCTCACTTCTGCCATGGTTCCCCTCCTGAGGGCGTGGGCCAGCAGGGCGTGAGATGGAGCAGAGCCCCGTGGGCTGTGGTTGGATTCAGACTAAAGGGTCAGCTGCCCCCCAAGGGGCCCAGGCCCATTTCTGCAGGTGGCGTCTGCCAGGAGCACAGTGAGCAGTGGCAGGGCTTGGAGTGTGACGGGGTCTGGCCCACGTTTAGCCCTGGGAGCTGAGGCCGGAGAAGCGGCTGCTCGGCCGTCCGTCTCTTGGGCCACTTCTCGCTGACACACTTCCTGGGGACCCATAATTCGGGGCAGCAGCTGGGGGTCTGTCCACGAAGTGCACTGAAGCTGCCACCCTCTCTCCACAGAGCCTGACGGGTCACACGTCCCCAGTGGAGAGTGTCCGCCTCAACACCCCCGAGGAGCTCATTGTGGCCGGCTCCCAGTCGGGCTCCATCCGCGTCTGGGACCTGGAAGCTGCCAAAAGTAGGTGTCTGCGCTCACCTTCCCCAATGCCCCCTGCACCCTGCACCCTGCTGTCTCGGGCTCCTGACCCATCGCTTCCTCCGGGAAGCCCGTCCTGACTAGGTGGGGTGCTTCCGTCCTGGGACACTGGCCAGAGTGGTGACCCCATCCGCCCCCATCTCTGAATGCTGGCACCAAGGAGGCGCCTGGTAAATGTCCGAGTGGACAGCTGTGTGGATGGGCGTGTGAGTCTCTTTGTGGATTCAGAACCTGGAAGGACATCAGGTGCCACCAGGGGCCACACAGGAGCGAGGTGGCTGTGCGGGGCACACTGGGGAGCGGGTGGCCCGACGGGGCGGCCCCCACTCAGCTTCGGCTCACTGCCGCCTGCAGGATGGGGCTGGGTGGCCAGCCCTCTGTTTCCTGCGCTGTGTGTGTTGTAGTTTAGTTTTCGCCTTTATAGGAGTCAGAGTGTAAGAAGGCAGATACCGGTGGTTGTACAAACATTCACAATGAAAAGAGAAAGCCTTTCCCACTCCTTCCCCTTCTCAGAGGCCTCAGCCTCTGCCCTCTAACCTGGTGTTTTGCTCAGTCCCTCCATCTTTCTAAACAACATGGTTATGCTGTAGTTTCTTCCTGAAAGCACTGCATGTGTTAGCACAGAACGCTGTGCAGGCCAACCCTGAGGGGCCCAAGGAAAGCCCGTGGGCTCACGGTTTGCTGCCCGCCGCTGGTCTGGACTCCCAGCGTGCCGGGTGGGGGCCACCGCTGGAGGGGAGAGGAAACAGTGGCGTGGGGTTGCCAAGGCTGCTTTTCCCAGAATCGAGCCCC